AGAAAAAAAAATGCTTTTTTTTGGGGGGGGGAAAGGCTTTTTTGGAGGGGTGGGGGAAAAATATCCTTTTTTGGTGGGTAGAAAAAAAATCCATGTTTTGGGGTGGGGGAAAAAAAATCCCTTTTTGGGGTGAAAAAGCCCCTTTTTGCAGGTGGGTGGAAGCCCCTCCGTGCGGGGACGCAGCCCTTCCGCTGGCCAAGCACTGACCCTTCTTTAACACCCATCTTCTCCCCTAAAATGGGATTTCCCCCCAAAAAAAAAGTGCTATTTGAATTCCCTCCCAAATATTTAATTCCTACAACCAGCCCTGATTTCGGGTCGCCGATTCCCACGGAGAGCTCCATCCTCTCTGCAGCCCCTTTATCTGTGTCACAAACCGTCTCCGAGCCCACGCTCCTGTCCTGGTTTAAGGTAAAAACCCCAATTTTCAATTAATTTTACTTTTTGGCCAGCCCAAACCCCGACAGTTTGCAGGGTGTGGGGTTCCCCCCACCGCGATAAAGCTATCGACCTTCAAAGCCACATAAATATACCAATCCTTCCCCAAAAAAAAAGGCGCAATAAAAGGCAAGTCATGTTTATAGGACTTGGGGAACCATCACCGGATCGAATAACACCCATTTCCGAGGCCAAAACCGTTAACAACCTCCATCCCTTCCACCCACCGTTGACTTCCTGAGCTAAATCGCCCCTTTTTTTTACGGAAAACCTTTGGACTGAGTGTCTGAGGTGGGCTGCACACACGGAAATCTCACTTTTCTACCTCTTTTTTTCCCCCATCGAGGTGCAGAGGTGGCCGGCGCAAGCGGGGAAACCCGATTTTACTCAAAAAAAAAAAAAAAAAGCAGTTATTTTTTGAGGACTTCAGCAATCTCGCGCTCCCTCCTTGCAGCAAGGGAGCCGGGCGAGAGGCTGTGGGCGCCTGCGAGCTCAAGGGAAACGCATGTTTTGGCAGAGAAGTTGGGATTTTTCCCAGTCCTTGCCCATCCCTTGTGTTTTTGGCACTGCTGCCACGCGCCACGGGGGTCCAGCATGGTTTCGCTTTGCCCCATCCTCCTCTTTGGTCCTTCCAAGAACTTGAGGATGAGCCAAGAACTTGAGGACGAGTCCTGCTACGAGCCAACGCCGTCCATCATCCGGCCTTGGGGTGCGCCCGGATCCTGCCCGATCCCCCCCGAATACTCAACCGATGGGATTTTCTCCGGTTCACCACCGTTTGCCGAGGTGTCCCCAAGCTCCGGCATCTCCAAGGGTTCCATGGCCAATGTTCCGCCTACCTCTGGGTGCTCCGACCCTGCCTGCGTCCCCGCGCTGAAGTTCAACGGTGGGGATGGTACCGTCTGTCGATGGCCCCCCTCGCTTTGGGGGGGTCCGCCGGGCACTTCGGGGTGACTTTTGCTTTTGTGGGCGGTGACGTTGTCTTTCTTCTCAAACTTCTTGCCGCAGATGTTGCAGGAGAACTGGTAGAAGGAGTCGGCGTCGTGTTTCTTCATGTGCCAGTTGAGGGAGGCTTTCTGGCGGCAGGTGAATCCACAGATCTCGCACCTGGGAGAAAACAGAAGGGAGTTTAAGGTAAAAGAATCAAAAATAAGGTATTAATGAGGGAGAAGTGGCCCCGCCTCATCTCGATGCTGCAATTTTACGTGGGCTGAGCAAAGCCACCGCCCCGCGCCGCTGCCGATAGCTCAGCGTGGCTTCAGCGCACCCTCCAGGCAAGAAAATGCATCGCTCTCGTTAAGTCCCAGCTTATTAAGCTTCTCCAAATCAAGCCCACGCCCCGAAGCTGCTGTGGATCAGAAACCTCGAGGCAGAGAAAGGAACTTGGCTCTCCCACGGAGCACTGAGAAGCTAAATTTGAGTTAAAAAGCGACAGGGAGAAACCCCAATGCCAACCAGAGAGTCGGCGGTCACATCGGTGGGACCGGTACTTACTGCAGGGGTTTCTCCCCAGTGTGGATGCGCCTGTGGATGATCAAGTTGCTGCTGGTACGAAAGGAACGGGCGCAGAACTCGCAGATATAGTCCCGCTTGTCTGTGGGGCAGAAGGAAAAAAAAGGATTAGGGGCCGATCCACCCTGGAAAAGCCATCTGAGGCGGCTTTCAGGATGTATTTTAGGAGGCGGGGTGCCTTCCCAGCGCAGAAACAGAGATGATAAATGAGTGATCTTTGGAGCAGAAAGCAAACGGGTGCGGTAACATCTACCAGGGATGCAAATGCGCATGGTGAGGATGTGGGTGTGGATCAGCTGTAGCCCAGCAGAGGTGGAACCAGCGCAGGAGAGGTGGTGTAAGGAGGTAGATATCCTGTGCTGAGGTGGCCAACTCACCGCTGTGCAGTTTCTCGTGCTCCTTGAGGTGCTTCTTGAAGTTGAAGGACTTGCCGCAGCTGGGCTCCGAGCAGGTGAAGGTCTTCTGGTGGACGTGCTGGTACTTCTTGTGGTGCTACCGTTTTGGGGAGAAAAAGGGAGAGTAAGAAAAGAGGAGATCACCACGGAGAAGCTGCACTTTGAGGAAGCTTTCCAGTGACAACCGCCCCTCTGTTTTGTTCCCTGAAGTGCGTGGTGGGACGCCAAGTGACCTCAGGCACAACAGGGCCAACAAGTCCCATATCTCTTATCCAGCTTTGGAAAGCCGTGGGCAATTTAGGTTGCCCAATTCCAGCTCGAGGACAACAGCCAAGATGCCCAAAACAGAGCTTGGACGGGCAAAACCTGACCCATCTGATGGGTCACCAAAGCTCCTGGTGGCCCCAGAAGAGACTGGGAGCAGGAGGGACGCTCGTGCCCAACTCGACTGCTCCTCCTGGGGCATGAGAGGTGGATTTAAGCCCAACGGTTGCCCTCACGTTCAGGTACTGGCGGTTGGAGAAGATCTTGCCACAGCCTTCGAAGTCGCACAGGAGGATCTCGCGCTTTGCCGCCTTCCTGCGGAATAGAAAACCACCATCGGTGAGGATGAGCAAGGGAGGGGAGCCGAAAAAGCTGTGCCTTTTGGATTTGCCCCCCCGGCTAGGTCCTCCTCACCCATCAGAAGCTCAATTTAAGCAAATAAAGCCCTTCCAGGAGGCCCCCAGCAAGAGTAAGCGTTGCTTGCCAAGGGTGTCCCACCACAGAAGGGCTGAGCTGGACCTTCTCGTCTTCCTGAGGGGCTGCAACTCCTCGTTCTTCCCCCTCAGCCCCACATACCTGATCCTCTTCGGGCCGATCTGGGCCACGTCCTCGTCGCACGGCCGCGCTCGCCTCTTGCAGCTGCAATGGGAAAGAAAGGTCTTGAGTGAGGCTCTTGTCCCCTTCTTTTTGTCACCAAGCGCTGAGTCGAGAAGCTGTGGTCCTCCAACCTCGCAGCCGATGGGTTTCCAAGCACACCCTACATTAAAACCATCCTCTGGGCAACCATTTCTCTTGTATTTCTTCCATTTTTGGGAAGTCGGTATCTCTCCTGTCTCGCATCGTTAACAAATGCACCTTTCAGACGTTATAAATAGGAATATATTTTCTTTATTACTCATTACAAAAAGTCTTTCACACAGTTTTGGATATCTCCCAGGACATTTATGATTGCTGTCGACCTCGCGCCAGCCTCGTTTCATCTACAATTTTATCTGCAGCTCCGTGGAAACAGCAGCTATTTTGGGCTGACATCCTGAAATTAAAGAAAGATACGTTAAAGAAAAACCAAAAAACCAACCAAAAAACAAGTATGCTCTTGCAGGAAGGAGAAATAAAGAGATCGTTTAATAGACGACAATGCCAGACCACATCCTCTGCATGGAATAAAGAGGGGCTGGGCATCTTTGTCCACAATCTCTTATAAAGGTTTTATCAGCTCGTGATGGCATTACCTTTGGGAAGCGAGAGGAAGACGAGAAGGCTGGAGGCTCTCTAAAATAGTCTTTTATCCCCATTATTCCAGTTCCTATGACAAAAGAAGGGGGGGGAAATCAATCAAATGCTTGTAAATATGATCTCTGTAACCAAGCTCAGCCTTAAAAAGGGGCAGCACCCACTTAAAACTTGCCCAGGCAAATCAACGGCCGCTTTCATCAGCCACTTCTGCAAATCCCCAACGGTCCTTAGGTGCATCTTTAGGCACTTTTGGAGGTCTGAACTCCAGGATTTTGCACAGAAAGCGTGCAGGACCCAAAATATGTTCAGGGATATGAAAAAAAAATCCCTCTTTTGGCCTTAACGAGGACGATCTAGACCTAATTCAAACTTTTCCACCCTCAAGTGGAACTGGAGAGCCTGGTGTCCCCCCACGCTACGTGTCCAGCAAGGAGCAGGGAGAGGAGAAAAACAAATGCGAGATTTACCGTCGCGTTTTCCTTTGCTGGGACCGGGTTTTCGGGAGGGCGTTCGCGAGGCCAGTTTCGGAGCTGCAAGGAGACGGGAAGGGTGTTTAGCACTGAAAAAAAGCGATGATACCGTGGCCAAAGTGAAAAGCAAATTAATGAAAGAGTTAACGGAGCAGCACGATACTTACGTGGCGAATTTTGGGGCGTGCGTTTTGCTGCCGGTCCAGTCTTTCATAGATGCGTTACAAGGCAGCGTTACGTGGTCACTCCGGTCAATCCGAATGAAAAAGAGGGTTTTTAACACCCTCGTCGTATTAAAAGCGTTAAGAAAATCCAGCAAGGGGACGACTCCTTGTGTGTCAGACCCAAGGGGCAACGCGTGGCCCATCCTCTTGTTTCAGCATCGAGACCAACTGGTATTTAATACTCTTGCATAAAGACCCAGCGAATAATCGAGTGAGGATTTGAGCTTATTTAGAACAGAAAAAGGGAATTTTGAGCCCACGTGGATGGGAAGGAGAGGTTAAAACCGACTCCGTGGCCTCAGACAGGCAGAGGTAGAGAGTGCGTGCAAATTAACTAATTGTGGTCATTATCAAGCTGCCCCTTGACCAACACTCGAGTTTGGCAGCGCTGCCGTCGCTACGCACCTCTTCCCATGGCCTTGAGCTGCTGGGCCGTATAGCTGGACCATATAGAGCTGGAGAAGCCCCATAGATATAGATGGAGACAGGGGATGGAACGTATGGAGTTTTTTGCTGTGGCAAACCTCTGAAAGAAGGGCTTCAAAGTCCACCAGGGTGGTGGTTAAAGGGGTCTTCAACCCCTGCCCAAGCAGCATGTCCTTGCTCCCCGGTCACCTGAGCATGGGGACCAGCTCCGTGAGAGACACAGAGGATGAAATGATGACTCGTTAAGCCTCTCCGGTAGCGAGATCCACGTGCCGGACCCCCTCCCCACACCTCTGCAAGCTCCAACGCCCAACGAGACCTGGTAATGCAGCTCTGCCCTGCAGACGGCGGCACCGTGAGGAGAAGAACTAAACCCCCTTGGGGACACGCGGCTCCTGTTCTGCCCAGAGCTCGGGGCTCGAGCAGCCTTTATCGTTGGGTTGGATGTTTCCAGCTGGTTTCAGCATCATCTCCCAACGTGCCCCAAAACGCTTGCTCAGTGGCCACAGAGAGATGGAGGCACCTCAAGGCCCATCACCACACCAACATGGCCGTCACGACTCACCTGACTCGTCCACTCTTCTCCTCCGATGGGCTGGAGCTGGTTAGGCTCGGCTCGTTTGGGGGTGGCTCCTCCTTTATGGGTTTCTTACGGGTTTTGGTCTGGCTTTGTCGTCGCTGCAGCTCAGAGTCACTAGAGGAGAAGACAGACGTGGGATAGGCAGGATGGTTCAGATGGTTGGATGTGGTTGGACATAGTAAGATACTGGTTGGATGTGGTTGGACATGGCAGGACATTGGTTGGACGTGGTTGGACATTGCCTGGGTATTGGTGGCATGTGGTAGGACATTGGTTGGACGTGGTAGGACATGGCAAAGACCCTCACCCAGGCAGAGATACAGTGAAAGAAGATGCCTCCCCAAAAGGCTGTGCCCTTTTGAGCCCAGAAGCACCTTATTTAAGCACTATAAGGACATTATTCCCATCTCTGCTAGGGTCAGCTGTAGCAAGACAAGAGTGTGAAACCCATCTGGACTAGGACGGCGTGACTGGGAGCCTCTGGAATGGCTCTCGCATGGTCCCAGTCCACAGGCTCCTTCCCAGCAGCTCTAAGCGCTCCTCACCTGTCCAGAGATGGGTGGTAGTTCTCATCACGCAGGTCATCAGTGTAGGCGAGGTCATCATCCTCAGGAAAGTCCTCATCCTCCTCTTCCTCCTCTTCTTCTTGGGGCTCAGCCCCCTGCTCTGCTTTCTCCTCCGGGACAAGTGTGCTGCAGGAACGCAATGATCAAAGTCAACTCTGTCGCAAAGGGTTTTAATCATGGAAGGTCTTCATTAAAACATTGGCTGCCCGTTGGAGAACTGAAGGGATGAGATGGATGGGTCCAAACTTGACCTTCAGCTCTGGACAGCACTGTTGTACGCTGGGGGAAGACTCATGCGTGCTACCACTCACCTCCCGTGATCTTTTGCCGTGGTCCCAGTCTCCGTTGGCACTTGGGGAGCTGCAAAGAGACAACAGGAGTTGCGGTAAGTTGAAGCAGGGCTGGTTGAGCTGGGACGTTGGGAGAGGCAGAGGAGGGAGGAGGAAGATGGGGACATGAGGATGGAGAAGGGGACGCAGAGGAGCTCACCTGTATTGCCATCATCACCACCATGACTAACAGCTCCCAGTTCTTCCCTCCGGTTCCCATCACCGATGGGTGACTGAGCTGCTCCCTCCGGTTCGGCTTCACCCTTCCCGGAGCTGGACTCTGTGGCCAGCCCTGCTCGTCGGAGTGAGCGCCGGCGGCCGGTGACTAGTGGGGAGCTGCACCCCGAGTCCCCCTGTTGTTCCTCTCCATGGTGGCCAGTTGTCGGGGTCTGGTCCCCCACTGCTCCGGGGACACCCCAGGAGAAGCTGTGCCCAGCCACACACTCCCACACCAGATGGGTTGTGCTGCCCGGAGCCGGGGGCTTCACGTCGGGGACGAAACCGCACTCTTGACCATGACCGTGGGACAGGACGACCAGGCGCTGCAGAGCATCGGCGTGGAGAAGATTGGGCTCTGGCTCGCCTGACGAAGACACACAAAAACCAGAGAAATCGGTGAAAACCAGCTCCAAACTTTGGCTTTTTGGTTGTTTTCCATCATGCCAACAACCCCACCGCAGCCAAACCCAAGGAGCGATTCGCCTCCTGCTTGGGGCGGTGAGTATCTCCAGGTGCATCTCCAGCGCTCAACGCCAACAGGGACCTTCTCCACCAGAAACCCCTTTTGGACCCCAAATAATCAAGTGGATTTGGGGTGAGAGGCACCCACCTGGGCTCCAGACGCAGCCATGGGAGCTGTACCTGTGGCGGGAGGAGAGAAAGTGAGTGAGCTTAAACCTCTCTTTTCCCAATCCTGAGGGTTTTTTAAGGGTTTTGCAGACCCCTACGCTGACCTGTCGAGGAGGAACTGGGCCAACTGGGAGTGCAGGGCGAAGCCCAGCTGTTCTTTGAGGCGACACCAGCGTTCCAGGTGTCCCCCGATGCGGATTCGGCATTTGCTACGGCGAGCATCCAGCTCCCGGCGCTTCTGTCGGCGAATGCAATCGGGGGCCCGCTGCCGGCCGGGACGACCCGGCTCCATGAGGGGGGTCTGGGATGGGGGGGGACAACGACATG